TTATACTACCCAAGTCAAGTAGGTGTAAACCATGAAGAGCGTTTGCAATAAAATTGAAATTTTCACTTTATAGATTAAAGCAATCTAGGCCGATGTGGTACACCTGCCTAAGTAAATACTTGATTGGGAAGGGATATAAGAATAATGAATTGTGCCCTTGCGTATTTATAAAGAAAACAAGTTCCATATTTTCAATCGTAGCTCTATATGTCGGCGTTATGAACATAATAGACACTCTTGATGAAATAAGAAAAAAACATAACTACTTGAAATCTAAACTTGAGATGAAATATCTTGGGAAAACTTGGCTACATCTAGCTACTGGAGCTCGGATACCAAACTTGTGGAACATTAATCCAACGATTTGCATATGTCCAAAACATGATTATGCGATTTAATATGGACAAAGCATATCTGGCTACTCCAATGATCGATTAAAGTGATGGATATAAGAAAATATCAATTTCGTCTAAAGGATGATGACAAAGAGGTGTTGTGAGCTAGAATTCCATATCTAAGTACAAGATGCGCATTATTGTACTTAGCACAATAAATTTGACTGTATATTGTATTTCTCAGTGAACTTATTAGCTAGATTTAGCTCAATGCCAGCACAACGTCATTGAAATGATATCCAGTTAACGTTTTGGAACCATTGACGTGGTCTTATACATTTCCTACAGAGAGAAAAATGAGATTGATAATGGAACTTCAATATCTACTTAGATAATGAGCAACAAAAGTATTATCCCTCATAGAAAAAACACCAAACAATGTCTTGGTATGTATTTGCTGATATTAAGTATCTGTCTGACCGACACAAAGGTCGTCCCAAACTGGATAAATAATTGCCACATGGAACATGTCGATTGCTTGGAAGTAAAGTAGGAAAACCCTAGTAGCTACCTCCTCTACATGATTTCAAGAGTTTGATGGTTAAATCATTACATATATTAGAGGAGCTAGTGGTTTGATTTCAACCACCCTCCTATATGCATATATGGAAATAATGCATCATGTATCGAAGAAATGAAAGTAAGATACATCAAAGGTCATAACACAAAGCATATTTCGCTTAAGTTTTTATATAATCATCAATAACAAACTCTCCTCAAGATTCAAGTGAATCAAATAATATGTGAAGAGAATGTAACATATCTGTTTACCAAATCATTATTTAAAACTATATTTGGGAAATGTGTTGAAAATATTAAAATGCAAATGTTTTCCAATCTCCCTTAATTAATGCCCAAAACAAGGGAATTTACTATATATATATATATAATAATGGTTTGTTGTGCTATTTCATTCAGCAATGTTTTATTTTTCCCAATGTGTTTTGTTCCTTGGTGTAAGGTTTTAGTGAAGCAATAGTTTATATACCATCATGCTTTCTTAACTCTCATGATTAATGTACGAATATGAGATAATATTAGACTAAAGAAAAAGATTATGTGTTGCAAAGAAACTGGTACATTGTACTCTTTTCTTCATCCTACTTTTATCTTTCCCACTGGATTTTTAATTAGGCGTAAGGTTTTAACGAGACAACAATCGTGCACCATCACTCGTTTGACTCAGCACAAGACGAATTGTTGTAGGATAATTGTGCTATCGTTTAAAGGATATGATGATAGAGATAGATATATCAGTGTTAGATTAGAACTGAAATATCTCGTAATTATCTACTTGTAACTATTCCCTATATGAATGACTTATGATTAATGAGTATACATATTCCTCCTCTCTATTATACTGTTGCTCTATTTAGCTTTTCCTTTAATATTTGTGCTATTATACAAGGAAATAAACATTTTTTATACCCAATGTATGTCATACACTTAGCAAGTACCATTATACTTGTGTAAAGAGTTGTTTGGTTGATTTTTCATTAGGTATTATATGGATAAAGTTATTTGTGTAAATTAATCTGTCTGTATAGATGGATAAAGTTTTTCTTTGAGATAATTTTTTCACGGATAAAAGGAGCGTTCTTTTTAATTGAGAGAGACAAGTTTAAAAAAACTTGACTTTGTGCATAAAATTTTTCAAACTTACTGAATACCACTTTGTATATCATTAAACCACTAACAAACAGTCATGTATAACTAACTGAATAAGACGTTACTCGCACCAAGCTCGTTAAGCTTGTAGCAAAGTACCTAATACAATATCAAACAAGTAAAAAAAAAATGATAAATATGTAATGTGTCGGTTACATAAATTTACACACATTCTATACTTAATTACAATTTTGACACCATTATGTCACTTAATTATGTCACAACCAATTGCACGTGCATAAAGTATAAGCCATCAAATAATATTCATATGTAGCATATATTCACAATAACCACACAAAAACATGTGCCTTTAAGACACACAAAGTAAGATAACAATTAATAACAAACAATAAATAAATCATTATTGCACAAACTTATCAACACAACACTTCAAATTAATCCAATTGTTTTCAATAATTATCATGAAACCTCATAACATAAGTAAACCACACATTTCAGATACAACATTTTTTGTTATATATACATATATATATATATATATATATAGAGAGAGAGAAAGAGAGAGAGAGAGCGTTTAGTTCAAATCTTAACCTAAATTATTGTGTTAACTTTATGAACTTTTTCTACCAACCACAATCCATCTTAATATTAGGTTTACTCTATCTAATAATTTAATGTTAAGAGTATAGGGGTAAATTTTTTTTTTTGTAACTCCTATATCATTAATTGGGAGTTACAAGATCGGTAAAATCCAATGATTTTTGCATTTTTTAATATTGATCTTGTGAATTTTTTTATTTTTTAATATTGATCTTTCATTTTTAATATTTATAAATTTATGATTGATGAAAGAGATCTGCTAGTAAAGTGTTTGTTATGGTTCAAATAATTATGGATAAAAATATTGGAAAACAACAAGACAACTTTGAGAAGGTTTTAAAATTGTTAATGATGACAGTCGAAGTTCGAGATCGGGAAGTGAAGTAAATAATCAAAGCGAGTGTCTTGGTAATTATGAACACAAATTGACATGCATACACCCATATGAACACAAACTGACATACATGATTTCTACTGTTTGTAACCAATGACATGGATTGCACCTCCTCTTTTACATGAATACCCTTGAGCTACTACGTTGACGTATGTTTGTGAGATTATAAGGGTAATAAATTAAATTTATAATATATTAATCTCAACCATATATTTTAAAAATCAATGACCATGATTAGTTCATAAAGTTAACACAATAATTTGAATTAACAAATGAACTTGCCCATATATATATATATATATGTATATATATCATACATCGTTTCACTTAGGGGCCGTTTACTAAACACTTACCCGATAGTACTTACCGGGTAATTTTCCTCACCGGATGAACATGGCAAGGGCCAAGAATCTTACCCGGTAAGAGCGATGATAAAGATGGATAGTCTTACCCGATAAGTGAGGGTGACGACTCTTACCCAGGTAAACGCTTACCAGGTAAATTGTTGCATATGATACGTTTTGATGTATTATAATCTTACCCACTAAAATAAATTATAATGTTGACTCTTAACGTTAAACACTTACCGAATAAGCATTTAGGTAAACGACCCATTAATCCCACTACACATATGCAAACACTTCACGATCAACGAGAAGTTAGATTTAATACATTTTTCACTAGACGTTTGCATGTGATACATACTAACATCCTGTTTTTTTTTTTTTTTTTAAATTTCCCCTTAACCATCTCTTAAGTCTGAATCGTTTAGATATTTTCATTTTTAGATCGTTTTTTTTCCTTCAAAATAAGAGCTTAAATGATATTTTCTTCCATTGAATTTTTAAGTGATAAACCTATCACTTAATACCTCTTAAATCAACTCTTTTTTACCGGTGGTCCATCTTACAATGATCCATGATTCTTCCCACGACCAACACAATATATAATCAAAATCTGAAGGCGCCGAAGAAGATCAACATCTCCTGCTGATATCCCAATCTCCTCTTCTACGAATCTCATGATAAAATTGTAATCGACGGATTAGATTCAGATTTCATAATACAAATGATTTCAACTCCACCCACCATAAGGAAAACTCTGAATTCTTTTTGTTATTTGACTAAAACCTTGAAAGAAAGAAATACAAATCCATGTTGAAACAAAAGATTGCTATAACCAATATGGTTGATTCAGATTTCAGACGTAAAAACAAACAGTCTGACTGATTCAAATTTCAGACTTCAACACCACCTCTTAAAAATCATAATTTAGCATCTCTTAAAAAAGAAACGCCACCTAAGCATCGAAAATATAAGATCCAGTGAAGTGAGCTCCATGCGCTATTTTAAAGTGGGTTATACACAACTATCGTTTATCATGTCCTTGTGTTACGTTTATATGATGTTATGATGCATGCAAGTATTTTTCTATATTATATAAGAACATTACATAAGCATAAATAAGGGTTATTTGCATGATGTGAAATTATAACATTCTTAATTTCTTATAATATAAATGTTACCATATATATAAAGAGCAAATGGATATTGTCAGCTCAGGCTTCACAGCTTTTAGCATTCTTCACACTTTTTTAATATTAATAATAACGATTTATCATTTTCGATTGCAGATAAGGATGTGGTAGGTTCGAGCGAGCCATCTCATTGCATTTACATACCGTCCAGTCCACCTTTCATCTCGTACTTGTAATGAAAAGATACGTTAAGTTTGTTTGATTTTGTTCGACCGAATAAAATCGTATGATCGTTTTTGCGGTTAAAAAAGAAGAGCGAAAAGGAAAAAAGAAGACGTTCACATGATATATTCCAAATGGAAGGGATAAAACAGATTTGAAAGAGAAGATGAAAGGGCAGGGCCGTTGTGATTTGTATGCCGTTGCTTTTTGCCGGCAAAATTCTCTTTCAAAAGTTGGTTTCATCATCCAAAGTCCGATCGAAAATTGGATGCTAATCTTCAACCCTAGTTTTCTCTACTCTCTTTCAATTCTACAGTTTCTTTTGTCCACAAACAGTTAACTTTCTCCTTCTTCAAGATTCTCTGCTTCGATCTCTCCCACTTTCTTCATCTTTGCTTTTCACAAGCCAAGAATCAATCTATTTCTCTATCTCAAAACTGTACCTTTCCTTTCTCCATCAGAGATTCCCCTCCTTTCTTTTCTTTCTCAAAATAATTAGCTTTTTATCATCAATGATGCCATTGTTCTTCCGCTCATCTCTCTCTCTCTCTCTCTCTCTTCCTCTCCTACCGTTCTTTTCTTTCCCCCCTTCTTTCTCACAGGACCATTTCAGTGTTATCGCCATCTTACTTCTTTTTTGGTTTCAGCATTCGTCTTTTTCCACCTTCTTGAACTCCCGGTGGCAAATCTATACATACGGCCCGGAACCCACCAATCATGTCTTCTTCCGTGAACGTCAGCCACCTCTCTCAGCCTTGTATATATGGTATGAAAAACAACAACATTTTTTATTATATGATATTCTTTGAGTTCTGGGCTTTGTGACTTTATATCAGGAAACTGTTTGATGAAATGCTTGTATGAATTTTACATGTGGAAATTTCTGAAAGAGGACCCTTATGTTTCCACTTTTGATTCCATGATTTTGGGGTTTACTAATACCACAGAACCTGTGTATGGGGATCAATCAGATTTTTTACAATTTGGTGTGGATTAGTGTGTGCTTATATTTCAGACGAACATGTGTAGTATAGAGGTGATATATATCAATGTAACCATGATTTTTAAAGCAGGGCACTTTGTTTCTTCGCACGCAGAAAGAAAGTCCCGGTTTATGAAATGGTTGAGTAAGCTTTTCAAAGGTGGGTCAAGTCGTGGGTCGATTGGTGATGGAAATCCTCCTCAGTTTATTGGAGATGAAAGTATGGTATTGCGCGCTCCAGTTAGATCTTTGGTAAATACCATCTTCCCTTCTTTCATTGTGGGCTTATATTGTATTTGCAGGAACTATATACAAAAATGTGAACTTTGCTTAGAACTGTGATGCTATCAGGCTTCAAATGTTATGAAGGAGCAAAATGAAGAAAAATCTACCTTGTAATATAGAGAAAAATACATCAACTTAGACACCGTACTAACACGAAGCATCAAATACACATATCGTTTGGGGATTATACCTTCTTTTAAATGTTTTATTGACGCTTTAGTTCTCAATCTTCACGTTATGACAAACTGCACATTGTGGAGTTTTTCACCACTTTGTGCTTGTTTGATTCCTCTTTTTGGTGCTTTTGAAGATTTTGGTTGGTTTGATATTTCTTTGATGCTTCGGTTTATGGTTGCAAGGAAGTTGAGCTGAAGTTTGTTATTTTCTTAATGTCATTCTCTGTTCTTTTGCTTTGGCTTTTGTTACTATAACCAAGAAATTCCTTTAGGACAATCGCCCAAGGACTRATAAGGAGAAGGAAGAATTAGATCGAGCAATTGCACTTTCTTTGGCCGAAGGTTTGAAGAATCCAAATGGTAAGATGTTAGTAATTGAAAATTGGAACTCCTTTTTTGTAACTCTCATCCAATTCATTTTCAACCTTTATCTCTAGATTACAGAAAAAACATTGTGTTTGAATCCGTTCAGGATATCAGTGGCAGCCAGACAATGATGAAGATCTTGCAAAATCACGTCAAAACGACCTTCATCCGTCATACCCTCCATATGTACCTAGTGAATGTCATCCCATGGGATATAGGTACTTATAAGTTATATCTATATCCCTGTGGTTTTTTCTGCAACCGTGTTAAGCTGGACCGTCTTCTGTTGCCTGCATTTCTAGAAAAACGAAGGGTCAAATCATGATATAACTTTGATTGATCTTTATATACATATCCAACTTGCAGAGTATGTGGTGGCTGCAACCGCGACATTGGTTACAGCAATTACTTGGGATGCATGGGGACCTTTTTTCATCCAGAGTGCTTCTGTTGTCGTGCTTGTGGTTACCCAATCACCGAACACGAGGTAATTTGTTCTGCTATTAGCCATCATGCCACCAAATGCATTTTATTTGATTTAAACTTATTTCTCATTTGATCCGTGACAAACTTCTGTAATGTCAAATGATGCTGTTGAATCTCTTACTATTGCCAGCTCATGTTAGTTTTTTCTGTTGATTCAAGTTCTCTTTATCAGGGAAAGATGCATACCATAAGTCCTGTTTCAAAGAGTTGACTCATCCCAAATGTGAAGTCTGCTTTCAATTTGTAAGCAAAACTATGCTTATGAAACCCCTTTTGTGCATTAACTAACTTTCAGCTATCTTGATTCTTAAAATAAGAATTGGAATTCTAAAAGATTACAGATGAACTGCATTAAGGCTGATATGATCTCTAGAAAGACTATTACTGGAAGCATGTGTAATATTATTATCTCTGCTTTTCTAGATTCCCACGAACGAAACTGGGTTGATTGAGTATCGATGCCACCCATTTTGGTCCCAGAAATATTGTCCTGCACACGAGAATGATAATACAGCTCGATGCTGTAGTTGTGAACGATTGGAGGTATGGTTTCTGATGATATTGCAAGTTTCATGTTCCATTGATTTATATCACTACAGCAGAATCGGTTTTTATAGGATGCCAAAGATGTCTAAATGCCATAATAGAATGTTTTGTAGAACTTATAGGACCAATAGAATTGCGCATCCTATGTAAATGTGTTACAATAGGATGTTGGGACGTTTTTGAGCATCCTAACAAGTTTTTTATGACACTTTTGAAATACAATGTCCTATTCGATTTTTACCGGACACTTTTTAGTTCAAGATTGATATCCTTTCTTCTCACACCATATAAGCAAGATCCACAAAATAAGTATGTGATTTTCATGATTATGACGTTTTTCATCCTGAAGTCCGTGAATGTTCGATACATCTCTTTGGGAGATGGGCGGAGTTTATGCCTGGAGTGTATGGAATCTGCGATAATGGATACAGGCGACTGCCAACCGCTTTACCATGCCATTAGAGACTACTACGAAGGAATGAACATGAGACTTGATCAACAAATTCCGATGCTTCTTGTTGAAAGACACGCCCTCAATGAGGCTATCGTTGGGGAGAAAAAGGTAAATAATCAACTCTTTTTCTTTTTAAAATCATAATGTTTTTGGCACTTCTGATTAATAATTTCACCTTTCAGGGCTTCCATCATTTGCCTGAAACAAGGGGTTTATGTCTTTCTGAGGAGCAGACTGTTGCAAGTGTACGAATTTAAACAATATAATACTTTGTGTATTCCATGTTCATCAAATGCTTATCGTGTTAATTTGTTGTTGCAGATACTAAGAAGGCCGAAAATTGGTGGGCATCGGTTGGTAGGATTGAGAACTCAACATCAGAAGCTGTCTCGCAGATGTGAAGTTACCGCCATTCTTGTTTTGTATGGTCTTCCAAGGTGATGTTTTTATGACTCTTTAGGAACCCTTTTCTTTCTTGAGACCATATCATTTGTTTGCATAATTAAAATGCAGATTTTGGCAACAATCTAAAGTCTTTTTGATGATCGAATGGCTGCAGATTACTAACTGGAGCCATTCTTGCTCACGAATTGATGCATGGCTGGTTACGTCTTAAAGGTAACTAACAAAGATTCTACTTTCCTTTCAAGAACCAGAAAGAAAAAACAGATATGAATCTGGAGACCATAGTTGAATTTAGTCTTTTCCAAATTATAAGTTTGGTAACTAGCAAAAGGTTCTGTTTTTTTATTTTCAAGAATTTAAAAACCAGACATGAATCTGGAGACCCTTTTTGGATCTTCCCCAGATTAACTAGCAAAGTTTTAATTTCTCCTTGAAAAATTGAAAAAACATAGATTTGGAAATTTTTTCTTTTCCAAATTGAAATTTTGGTAACTATCAAGATTCTGTTTCTTTTCTTTCAAGAATCGAAAAAATAGACGTGAATCTGGAGACCTTTTTTGGATCTTCCTCAGATTCACTAGCAAAGTTTTGAATTTTGTTTAAAGAATTGAAAAAACATAGATTTGGTAGTTTCATGTTTCTGAGATTATAGAAAGTTTTGAAATTTGACACAGGTTACAGGAACCTGAATCCTGAGGTAGAAGAAGGTATCTGTCAAGTGCTTTCATACATGTGGCTTGAATCAGAGATCATGCCTGGATTAAAAAACATGCCATCAACATCATCATCATCAGCATCATCAAAGAAAGGTGGGATTTCAAGAATGGAGAACAGATTAGGTGAATTTTTCATGCATCAGATAACTCATGATGCTTCACCAGCATATGGAGGAGGATTTCGAGCTGCAAATGCAGCTGTGAATACATACGGCTTACGTCGAACACTGGATCACATTCGATTCACAGGAAGCTTTCCTCTGTAAGTTATGGTTATTATTATAGATTGTATAATTCATCTGCTTTGCATGAGTAGCTCTTGAGGATCAAAATGATCAAATGACACCAAGTTTTTATGGGGTCATTTTGGAGATAAATGTGCAAGAAAAAGGCGGAGTTGTTGTCCAGTACTTTTCAATAAACCTCAAAAAGAGATTTATTTGTGTCATATTTATATGGGTGTTTTCTGTTTTGAAATTGTTTAACTTCTGGGATTGTAAACTAAAACTATTAGCAGAAAGAGACTTGTCATGAAATTTTTTGATCTGTATATTCTTAAACAAATATGCTGTTATTTGTTAAAATAAAATTTAATGACCCCATCATTGTTTGATATTAAAATGATATCCAATGAAGATCAAATGGTTGGGGGTGTTAAAACCGATGGAACGGAGAAAACGGTCTGACTGAACCAAACCGGATCATAGAAAATTGCCAAATCAGGTGGTCTGGACTGCGGTTTGAGTGGTTTTTTGGCGGTCTAAACCGACCGAACCGGTTGTTTATATAATTATATAATCTTTAAAATATATAACACATTTTGACTCACAATCTCATATCCTTTTATTTCAGTATTGGACTTTTAGATTTACAGATTGGCTAATACTTATAAGACTTTTAAATTCTAATCTTTTTATATAATTATCATTTATTAAATTTACAGTTTACTTCAACTTAGAATTTAATAAAACAATTACCAATTTAGGGTTCTTTAAAGTCAATCATCACATTTCTAATTTAGCATTTATACTAATTTGCGAGCTTGTATAAAGTGTGGACCATGGAGTATGGTTGATTTGATGATTTTTATTTGAAATTTTAAGCTATATATTTGGATTTAATATTTGTAATTCATATTTTAAACTTTAAAGCCCATAATCAGTCCAAACGACCTAAACCAATCTGTAGACTAGTGAGGCTGGATCGCATTTTTGAGGTCTGATTAGATCGATTTAGACGCTTCATTTCAAACTATATGGATTGGAAAAATCTTAAACCGCCACTTGGTGACTGGTTTATTAAAAAAGACTTAAACCGTCATACCAGACTGCAAACACCTCTAACGAATCCTAATGAATGGTGTTTGTGGAAGTGGTCTTAGAACAACACAATTCTTTTGTGGGAGAACTCTTTAAGATTAAGAGTAGAGGTGCCATCCATCGGTTATAACAGGTCCTTGTCCTACGTCACATTTACTAGCCGCTTATGTAGTAACCGGTCTTAGGGTCTGTTCGTTAGCAGCTTAATGAGACTCGCATCTTATTCGACAACTGTATACGAGTGTTTGGTGGTGGCTTAATATTATAGAAAGCGATTTATTCAGTAAGCTTTTAGGGAAACTTTATTCATAATACTCATCAAATGAGTCATATGAAAAACCCTCCCAAACAAAAAACTTTCCAATCCATACAGATAGCTTTATCCATACAGTACTTAATGGAAAACTAACCAAACAACCGCTTAGTCTCGTGACTAATCTCAAGGGGAAAACAATAACTAACATATACAACTACAAACAGACATTCTGAAGAAAATGTGTAATGAACAATATATATAGTTTTTGGATAATCTACATGTCAAAATCTATTCACTAATCCTAAAAAAGAAAAGGAAAACAAACATGTATAGTATTATAGTACATGGTTTTTCCTCTTTTCTTTTCATCTAATTAGAACAACATCCTTTCCTTTGGGGTTTATTCCCATAATCAACAACATTTATAGTGGTTCCTTGGCTAGGAACCGCAGAAGCTTTGGCTGCTTCCTGAGCAGCCAAAGCTTTTTTGCTTACTATATGATATATATCCAATAAAATCATTTGAAATGCCTTTTCGACATTATGTGCTTCGAGTGCAGAAGTCTCTAGGAACGATAGCCCTTCTTGCTCTGCTAACCTTTGACCATCGCTTTCTTGGACGACTCTAAGATGGTTCAAATCCGACTTGTTTCCGGCCAACATGATGACAATGTTGGAGTCTGCGTGGTCCCTTAGCTCTCGTAGCCATCGTAACACATTTTCAAATGTTTGCCCCTTTGTTATGTCGTAGACCAAGAGGGCGCCTACAGCTCCTCTATAATAAGCACTCGTGATTGCTCGGTACCTCTCTTGACCGGCCGTGTCCCATATTTGCGCCTTCACCGTCTTCCCCTCAACCTGCATTGTATCACTCACAAAGTTTATTGCTTGTACCGACAATGCAATCTATAATACACCGTCTTTCCAATGAAAATTACAACAATTTCTTATATCTGACGAGTCCCAGAAAGCAACATTTCCTTTTTGAGAAGTTTTTGGGTTGAAATCACTCATTTGCCAAACATTTTACTGTGGGTAATTTTAACAAACACCTTATGGGCATTACCAACTCTCCATTTATATCTGTCTGAATCAATTTCCAGAACAACCAAATATGTGCTATTTACAGATGTCGACATGCAATTTCAAGAAACAAAATTTCTAATATGAACATGATCAACGTAAAAACCAATATCTATAAGAAATTGTAGACAAAACCAACCAACCTGAAGAGTCCTTGTAGCGAATTCGACACCAATGGTGGATTTAGACTCCAGAAGGAACTCATTACGGGTAAACCTAGAAAGGATGTTAGATTTTCCAACTCCCGAATCCCCAATTAATACAATCTTAAATAAGTAATCATACTCGTGATCCACCTTATATGCCATTCCTTAATTCCCTCTACACCTTCCACAAACCTGTAAAAAGGAACAGAAAAGAAGATGACGATTAGAACACCGAAAAACCCAGACAAAAGCAATTGATAAACGAAGTACACAACCAACAATTCGGGATCATTTCTCCTACCAACTTGCACCCACTTTTATTGTTTCAAAACCCATCATTTTATGATCGTCGGAAAGATTCAAAAGTGCGAATGAATCCCAAACACAATAACCGAACGGGATTCTTTTTCTGTTTATTAATGGGAAACTGATAAAAGATTCAAGAAACTAAACTGACCATGCAGAAATGGCTGATGAAGAACAATACAATAATGGAGAGATTAGACCGTAGGAGTTGCAGAAGATTGTAGAGAGAGAAGGAGAGGGGAGAGAGAGGACATACCGGAAGAAACGGAAATTCCGAACAAACGGGAAATTTAACGGGCAATTCACAAGCAAACGATCAGAAAAACCAGGAATCGTTTGAGGTCGAAATGTTTCATTGGCACCCCCCCTTATGTTTTAATGACGATATATACCCCTATACTTTAACTAATTGTGGAATCAAGGATATGATTCACCCTTGAAAGTCAAAAATTAGTCAAAATAGTCCCTGTAGTTATTTCAATGGATTCTTATCATATGGATAATGGATGTGAGGATAAGTCAATTAATTTGTAACCAAAATATTTACAGAAATGGAAGAAAATTTAAAAATTCATTATAAATTTTATTTTGAAAAAGAATAATCAATTTATAATTGAGAAAAGTCTAAAAAAACCAATGGACTATGTCGTTTGTAATGATCAAGTCATTGGATAATTTTTTGAAACAAATAATTTCTTAGACATTCCAAAACCTGCTAAATAACCCCTTGGACTTTTTAAAATTTGTTAGATACATTTTTACGACCTATAAAACTGATTAATGTGGTAAAATTATGAAAAAAAATCTGGAAAAAAATCCAATAAACTCTCATATTTTGAGCTATTAAGTTTCTAAATATATTTTTTGAACAAAAAAAATAATTGCATATATAAAATGAAACAAATATATCAAAAAAGTATTTATATTTAAAAAGTTATTGATAAAATTTATTTTAATTAAACTATTTTGCCTGTGATTTTTCAAATTAAAACAAATAAAAAAGATTTAAAAAGGCTTATTGATTATATTTATTTTTAGTTAAAAATAAAATATATTCCATATATGATTTCTTAAATTAAAAAAAAAATAAAAAATGATTTTAAAATAAATTTCATCATAATCTTTTTAAATCTTTTTTAGTTTGAAAAATCATATACATGATATATTTTATTTTCAATTAAAATAAATTTAATCAGTAATCTTAAATTTTTTTTATTTTTTTTAGTTTGAAAAATCATTGACAAAATATATTTTATTTTTAATTAAAATAACTTTTATCAAAAATCTTTTTTAAATGTAAGTATTTTTTGTAAATATAAATACTTTTTGGTATATTTGTTTTATTTTGTAAATCTAAGTACTCCCTTGGTTCAAAAAATGTTTAGGGACTTAAACGTTCAAAATATGAATATCCATTGGCTTTTTTCATACTTTTTTTATTATTATTTTATCACGTTAACCAGTTGTATAGGTAATAAGAAAGTATCTAACATGTTTTAGAAAGTCCAATGAGTTATTTAACAAGTTTTGAAATGTCCAAGTATTTATTTGTTTTAAAAAATTGTCCAATGACTTGATCATTCAAAACAGAGTTTTTTTTTAGACTTTTCCCTTTATAAATTATATTAAAATTTTAACCATTTTTATTAACTCCAATATTCAAAGAGGGACAATTGCTATGACTGTTTTCCTATCTTCACCCTAATTTTCGTCACTGAATCATGTCTATTATATGCTATTACCCTACATCCTGATATAAAAAGTAAGGTTTATAAGACCATCTTGCAATAACGACCGACAGTTGTCGAGACCGACAAACAATAGTTACTAACTGTCCTAAACCACAATAAAGATTGTAATAGTGGTATGTCAGGTCGAATCCACTTGGCTTGATCAAACTTCTACTATTAGTAAAAGGAGGCGGTTTGGATTTGATTAACTGCACTAAACATGCAATTAGAAACAATGAAATAAAAACCCAACAATAGTCCGCTGCAAGTAATGATGCAAAACACTATCATCGATTTCTAATGCCCGCTGCAAGTAATGATGCAAAACACTATCATCGATTTCTAATG